GACGATTTTTATTTTTGGATTTCTATTAGCCTGAAAATCTTGCTCTTGACCTTGCCACCATGGTCCAAAACTGCTGACAGCATCACTCTCAAGGTTATTGGCAGCATATAAACCTCTCCACCATATCAAGGTGGAGAGGATATGGGCAAAATGTGTGCAGCTGTTTTATTGGAGATCCTACAGCTACCCACAGAGTTAAAGCCTCTTCCACCTCAGGGTCTGGGCTGTTTTTTGGTTGGTTGGCTTGTTTTAGTGAAAAAGAACTTACATTGTGGAGCAAAAGATCAGTGAGAAACCAGTGCTAAGGCACTATTAACCATCTGAAATGGATGCTCCCTTCTACTCTTCCTACAAGAAGAAACTGCTAGTATATGTATTACCAGCCTTGTATTAAATATTTTAGAATACAAACTTATTGCCTGATGACACCTGTTATGTGTATTGCATTATTTGAAATTCAGATGAATTATGCATCTACATCTGTAGGTTCTGATTTTCAAGGTCTGAAACAATAATTACAAGACTCATGTGCACCATCACCTATGAAACAGGCAGGTGTATTTTACCTATTGTCAAATGCAAATAGGAAGAGGAAGGTAACACAAGAAAGCAAGAGACATAAGTGAGAGACTGTGGCCATTTTCATCTGTTGAAAAGCTGCTGTAAGCCTGCCTAAAAATGTGGAATATGTTGAAAGCAGAAGCCAAAAATACTTTCTGTGCACGATGCTTCTGAATTACTGGAATTCCTCAACTTTCCAGAATGAGAGAGAAAGAGATTTAGTTACAGAACTGTCTTTGATGTAAAGAGACTCACCATTATGAAAATTACCTCAAATATCTATTTTTATTGGGAGTTTCCATAACTTTATGATTCTTCTTCTATACTATAGCATTGTGAATAAAATGAGAAGTATATTTAATGTTACATTGTATTATATAAAATACACTTTGTATATTGAATGATTATTTAATATACATTTCTAAAAGAGCTTTCTGAATGCCTATCAGTAAATTGTTATGAATGTAAAGGTTAAAGATTTGTTTTCACATTTAATCTTTGCCCAGAACAAAAATAAAAATAATGATACCATAAGACTGCTGATTGCGAAAGGCATTTAACAGTACTACAAAGCTGTATATTATATGAGATGGGAAAAAAAGAAACTCACCGTGGTCTTCTGAGATTTAGACTGAGTTATCATAGAAATCTGTCTCCAAAACAAAACTTAAAAAATACAAATGAAATATTACTTTAATCTGGGTGCATGTCAAAGTGTGACAAATAAAACAAAAGGCAGGGTAAATTTACATGTTACAGACTAACTAAATGTATATATCTCAATATATCTATGAATGTGTGTGTAAATATATTATTTGGTTGAGAATCACTGACCCATTCATATGGGAAAAACACAGCTGAATTGTATTCATGCCTTATGTTTCTTTCCAGACATTGCAACAGGCACAGATCGAAGTGAAAGAGGGGTAAAAATAGAAGTATCAGTTCCTACTTTGAGTAGACTGACAGAGATGAATTTAAAAGAACTGTTTATTACATAGCTTTTTACACTGACTCATTTCTAAATAGGAGCCTAAGCTGATAATATATGTATTAAGAGTACTAGGTCAGAAATTGTATTTATCATTCTTAAAACTATTATTGCAAAGTCCCTGAACTTTGTATTTGCATTTTATACAGAGCCGAGCATAGTGTCTATATTTAATTCTCATTAAATGCACACATTATAATTACATATAATAAATTATAATTATAGTCATATATTGAAAAGAGCACTAAGGTTGCAAAGAGAACTACTCAGAAATGTGGAACTGCCTGAACAAATGTTGCCTATGTAACTTTCGCATAGCTCCTTTCTGTCTATGCATTATGATTCAGGCTTTAATTATTATTTTTTCCACAGGACCACAGTCAGTGAATACTGTGAATGTCTATACCTGATGTTTACTGTGCAGTTGACTAATTAGCTGCACAATAAATGTCTCAGCATCTACACATGTGCCCATATTAGGCTGGAGTAAACTAATTTACTTCACAGCAGGATAGTACTTGTAAATACAAACACTATCCTGCAGCAGAATAAAAAACTCCACAGCAGTGCAAATGTAGACATTGCCCTGACTGGCTGGGGCACAAGGGTACTTCAGTGAGCAGGGGCTGCCTGCCAGCCAGCCCCATGCTGAAGCACCCTCATGCCCCAGCCAGCCCCTTCGTAGCACGTTGAACTGGATCGGAGTAGCCCTAGACTAGCAGGCTGACTCCCCAAGCCCTTTGCCAGCCGGGGCTGCTTTGACACAACTCAGTGTGCTGTCATCCTGGGCACACATGGAAATGTGCATAAGTCCTGGAGTTTATTGCAGCACATTAATATGCATGTATAGATGCACCAACTTAATGTTTCTTTCTCTCCTCTTCATTCAGTGTATGGCTCTAACATATCTGGTCTAAGCCCTGAATACAATACAAAAGTGTTAATTTCTTTATTAGCAATTATCTCTTACAATACAATAGCTAAGGGCTTCACAAATTAGAAGAAGATACTATTACTACCTCTATTTTATAACTGGGGAATGGAGACAAAGAGAGATTAAGTCCACAATCATCATGAAAGCTTGTACACTTAAAACATTTCCCATAGTTAAGGTTTTTGTATTTTTCTTTCATTATGAAGTTCTATGAGATTATTCAGGGGAAGTGAAATTCACAAAGGACTTACTATGATCAGCAGGGGAACCATTAAAAATTTATCACTTCAGAAAGGCAGTTGAGCCCCAAAGAAACATTTTGCTCCAAATGATATCTAGGTTTCATAAGTTAAAACTAAAGAGGTTCCCTAAAAATATCAGGTTATTTTTTCCTGTTGATTTTAGCTAAAGGAAAAAGATGGCATAACTAGATAGTTCAAATGAATAAATCCAACTTTTTTCTGCACTTAAGAGGTAATTTATTGGATTTTTTTTACAAAGAGAAATGTTCCTTTATGCAGAGTGAGGTAGCAAGAAAACAACAGCAAAAAACCAATAAGATATTTCAGTCAGTAGCTTGGTTGCAGAGTAGCTATTACACAAGTACCCCTCTATTCTTATGGCCCAAATTTTAATACCGTTGCAAGAGGGATGGATTCTGATTTTTCAGCTCAGCATCTAATAGACAGTTGCACACATCACACACCTCAAGAGAAACCAGAGACCAGTATCACTCCAGAGGATTTGATCTATCACCTAAAAGGATTATGGAATGATTTTGCAAATGTTAACTGAATCTATACTCATTCTCCTCTGAAAATATATAATTGTACTAGATCACCCCTGGGGTATATTCTCCCAGAACAGAAATGGATGGAATCTTATTTAATTTAATATTCCAAAGCAGTTGACCTCTGCCAGGGAAACGCCATCACCATAAATGGTCCCAAGTAACAGTTCCTATCTAAAAGCAAGTGCTAATCCTAGAAAAACAGGGCAGGGGAGGTAAAGGAGTGAAAAAGAATGACTAAACCTGTATCTCCAAGGTCAAGGAGGTGCTTGGAAGGGTGGTGATCTAGCATGGCTATATATTTTCAGAAAACAGCAATTACAGGGAAGTAATTACCAGCATCTCTTCTTCAAAGATCCAGTTAATGCTCTGAGCCACGTTCCATCTTTGAGAAAAGAAAGCTAACAACAAGCTAAACCGTGATTTTCGCCAGAGAGCTGAGTCTAAGTAGTTCTGTTTTGTAAATGCGCCTAAGGAACTTTGCCTTATATACCTCTTGGTACCCTGTTCTCTCACTTAAAAAAGTTAAAGAGCTTTTAAAATTGTTCTGAGAGAGCACTTATTGCCTGGTTAAAATAAATTAAAAAGTGGATAGATTTTCAATAATTGTTGAATAAAATAAAAGCCTAGAAGCCTAAGAAAAGATAAATGCTTGAATATGTAGAGAAGGGTTTCACTGGGTGGGGCACGGGAGAGTGAAAAGCAAGCAAGCAAGATAGCTGATTGATTAAAGTGCATTTCATTTATCCACTTAGTCATTACAATATTACTTTGCAATGTACGATTTTGCTTTCTGTGCTTGCATATTTATTTAAAGGCATAACAGAAAAACGCCAATTCTCTTTACATCAATTAAAAACAGAATCACATTTTTTCAATTAGGGTGCCAGGAATGAATTGTAAACCATCTATTCACTATATTTTCTTGTGTCATAGCGAAAGGTACAAATATGTAAGGAATAATTTTAACCAATGACATAGTATAATCCTTTCCAGGTATATGTTCACTCTCTGAGAAATTTGTAACCCATGAAAATGTTAGCTCCATGACAGACTTCCCAAGCTGCTGCTGAGTCACGCCGCAGTGTAAGTCAAGGATGGTATCAGGCAGCAGTTAGTAAAGCTTAGAACAGTACATGCACTAGGATACAGGACCTGTTACAAGGAACCCAGCCAGTTGTGTCTGCCGCTTATCCATTGTTGTCTGACAGACCCAAAGTATTTTATACTTCAGCAGTTAGGACAGTAGGATTTTCTCAGGAATAGAAAAGCACATGCTACAATACATGCCCATCCTGGTTACTCTTTTCTAAGTTCCTGGAGTGAATCTCTAGATCCTAATTGTTTAAGAGTCATTGGGCAAGTCTATATCAACCTATGTCACCGTAGTGATGCACTACATCACTGTACAATGTAATATGGCAATGTAGTGATCAAATAAGTCTACACGCGACTGGCAGCTACTTCACAGTAGCAGTGCAATCCCTCATTTTAGTGCACCACTATGGTGAAATAGTGGCTAAAACTAACTGTGCACACAGTGCAGTACAGGCAGTTACTTCACCATGCTTTAGTGCTTCCTACAGGAAGTACTAAAATACAGCACAGTAACAACATCACCATAGGGCAATGTGTAGATGCACCCTTTTAGTATCCACAGACAACTGTTGCTAAAGCACACCGGTTTTCATAGCCAATGGCACAACAAAAACTGATGAAACTAGGATTCGTATTTGGCTGCCTGTAGCACTATAGCCCAAATGGCGTAGGTAGGCCATTCCTGAATTAACTGGGGTGATCTTTAGTAATAGTATAAGCCAACCTACAAACTCACAATTCTGGAACTTAGTAAAACATCATAACCACATTGCCATCACACTGCTAAACCTTTAAGAGGTAGTTATTTCTACAGCAGGAGATGAAGATCATTCTGAAAGGATCAATTTGAGTAACTTAGACCGCATCCACACAAGCGTGGATGTTTGGTTCCCAGGGGACAACTAGCAGCAGGACACTTTGTGCTGCTGCTAGTTGTCTCCAGGGAACACCTGTGCCACGTGCCCTCTGGTGCACAGCAAGTTACCTTGGTGGTGTAGGAGGGGCTGGAGCCAACACTGGCCTGGCCCCAGCAGCCTTACCTGGGGTCCTGGGGGCCTTCTGGGGCTGCAGCAGTGGTCACCCTGGTGCTCAGCCCCTGACCAGCAGCTGGAACATGGCTGCAGCTGCCCAGGCTCTGATTTGGAGTGGTGCACATTGCCCCTGTGTGCGCCACTCCACTTTTTGTGTGTGCAGGGTTTTTTTTGACCCCTGGATATCCAGAGGTCAAAAAACAACAACTCCCCCACACCCCAAAAAACCATAAAACCCCTGCATTGCTCTCTTGCAGCGTGGAAAACAGTTGAGCGTGTGGTAAGTCACTCTGCAGACAAATCTGTGGCGTCACATACTACACAGCCATGCTTGTTTGGATGTGTCCTTCGTGTCTATTCTACTATCTGACAGGTATAGATTTAAAACTCAGTCAAATCTCTTCTTTTTTACTGTTCTATCGTATTTTAAAATACAAAAAAACAGTCTAGACACTAGCTTAGAATCTTGTTATTTTTGACACCTCTTTCTCCTTATCCTATATCCAGGTCCTCACCAAAATCTTATCATTACCCCTTTTATTATCTTCACTAGCCAACTGCCCATCAAGAATGATGGGGGACACGTGCCCCACCCCTCATCCCCCACTGCTCCACCTCCTCCCAGGCATGGGAGAGGGGAAAAAGCTTGCATGCAACAGCCAGAGCTGTCAACCCAGCACCTCCTGCTGCTGCCACTGTGCATCTGGCCGCGTGCAGCCCTCTCCCCCCCGGCTCTCCTCCCTCTCTTCCAGCTGTTCTCAGGGCCCAGTGGTGGCAGTGGCCTCCTTCTTGCTTCTCTCCCTCCTCCCCCACCCTGCCAGCTTTTGTTGGGGCTGAGTGGCAGCAGCAAAGCTGGGGGGGCCGGGGCAAGGCTGGTGCTACGCCACCAGCACCCACCACTGCTGCCTCCAGAGCAGGCCCGGTGTGGGGGTGAGGCCAGTGCTGCTCACCTCACCACACCCACTCTGTCCCCTCCATCCCTGCCATCGTGGCGGTGCTCCGCCATCCCAGGCTGTCCCCCTCTGCCTCCAAGAAGCAGGGCCAGGGATGTGGGGGGCAGAGGGTGTGGGGTGAGGCCAGTACTGCTGGCTTCACTCCCCCACTCCAGCCCCTCAGTGCCCACTGTCATGGCAGCACTCTGTCCTGTATGTCTCTCTGTGCAGAGCACTCCGATCAGTTGTTTCAGTCAGCATTGTGATTGGCTGCCGAGACAACCAATTACAGTGTGAATAAAGCATTATGGTCAGACAGACAGACTAAGGCTTCTATTGTACTAGAATTTTATGTCTTCTTTGCCATCTATCTCATAGTTTCATAGTTTCTAGGGTCGGAAGGGTCCTGAGCAGATCATCTAGTCCGACCCCCCGCCATGGCACGAAAGAGTACTGGGGTCAAACGATCCCAGCAAGGTGTTCATCTAACCTCCTCTTAAAAACCCCCAGGGTAGGAGCCAGCACCACTTCTCTTGGAAGTTGGTTCCAGACCCTAGCCGCCCTGACCGTGAAGTAGCGCCTCCTGATATCTAACCTAAACCTACCCTCTGCCAGCTTGTGACTGTTATTCCTGGTCACTCCTGGCGGTGCTCGGGGAAACAGTGACTCCCCCAATGCCTGCTGATCCCTCCTGACTAGTTTGTAACAGCCCACTAGATCCCCCCTCAGCCTTCTCTTTTGGAGGCTGAACAGGTTCAGGTCCCATAGCCTCTCCTCATAGGGCCTGCCCTGCTGTCCCGATCAT